CGTTTGAATTTTATTTTGGTCTTAAATATAAGATTCCAATCCACTTTGTTTCTTATATTTATCTATTTTTTTCTCAAGATAGTTTTTGTAATAATAGTAGTCCTAAATAATACACTTAATTAGCAATTATATTTTAGGACAAATAACGACTATTTATTACAAATAACTAACTTAACTAATTTTTTAATCTACTCAAATTAGTCAACTAATTCTTATATTAAATACTGAAGATAGTATTTCGATTCTCATCTTAGTAGATTGCAATATGGTAATATGTGGGAAAAGTTAGTCGATGACCGAACGAGTAAATCATAGAAGGGGCCATCAATTCCTTCTAAAACTGCCCTATGCAAGGCTGAAAGGGCATTTTCAGGAAAGCAAACTCAATTTTTGACAAAATTAAGAATAAAAAATTTTAACTAATAATATTCCTAATAATAAGCGTGGACTAGCTATTTTCACTTGTACTCAAGAACGGGTGGACTAATACTTTTATCAATAACAGTAAGGTCTTATAATTAGGACATAAGGTAGTACTAAATAGAAAAAAAACTCTTGACATGAGGATGATATAGAATTATATATTTTAAAAATAATCATTGATGAATGCATATGTTTAAACAAAATCATCTTAAACTTGCAGTTCCGGTGATAGCCCGCTTAACAGGGGCTGGCCTAAGATACTGTTGAAGTTATTTTATAGCTTAACTAAGGTTAGGTTTAAGCTATTGCCTAGGCCTAATTAACAGTAAGTCAAAATAGCAGTTGTAACTAAATAAGGTTAAACTAATATATATATTAATTAAGCCTTGTCTTAATGAGGTTTAATTAATACAAACCTGGCGATATTTAGTGTCTTGTTTCGGCCACGCCACCACAATGATGAGTTAAAACTATAAGTTTAAGTCAGGGGCTTATAACCCAACTGATCTCAAGTGTTTATTCTATTTTTTTTAAAAGGCTCTCCAAAGCGTGCGGCTTTAAGTTTGATTGGACAATTTTTTAAGAAGCTAGTTCCAAGTTAGGGAATTCTAAGAAACCCCATTTATCTTCTTCCTTCGTCACTACCTGAGGAGTGTTTTGGGTATTTTATATTTTTGTATTTTATTTTGAGAGAATTGCAATGAGCTAGGTTTTAAGTAAGAAATATAAATACTAAAAAATTTTAATGACAAGCGAGCAATAGTCATTTACTATTCTAAAACTTGTTATTATAAGCTGTCACTAAGACTTTTTTAGTAATTATGTTCCTTACTTAGGATTTCAATGCAATTTTCCCTTTTATTTTTCTTCTTTCCTAATTCATCATTTCCTTTTTCTTTTCCTTATATACCAAAGATGCATGCAGTCGGAAATTTTTTCTTTTTCTTTCCTTCTCTTCCTCTCCCTCAAAATACATTCTCTACTAAACGAACTCTTTCACTCGCAATTTCTCATGCATAATTACCTAGCGTGCTGCGTTAGTAACCACAGGGGTAAAAAATTATGGGAAGATACTTTCTAAAAGTACGAAATTTATATTCGAAACCAACAATAATATCGTATACAGAAAATGTGTTACATGGTGAATCATATGGGAGGGAGTATATTCATTTTCTGGAGACTTGATTTTGTTTTATGAACGGATCATCCGAAGAGTTTCTAGCAGAAGCAGGATTCATTAATTATGTGGTTAATTAGTGTTAGAAATGGTTTTGCCATAATCTTCATGATGACGATTCCAAAAGGAATTTGCTTCAGGTGAGACTCCTTCCATGTTATTCTGGTTATTTCTCTCCCATTCTTTGCCCTTGCCCCACACCACCATGTACATATAGCCCCAGCACTACAAATATGAATCTCCTAGTAATAATTAAGAACATTTCAAGACCAAAAACTTATTCTAGTCTAAATATGGAATTATAATTCTTTTTTTTTTTTAAATTAGGACATAGCTAGGACATATATGTACCTTCCCACATAGAGCCTTTCATGTAAGATAAGAGAGCAAGTAATGGTGGATAGAACAACTGAAAATGGAAGCATAGAGTGGGCCTTTCAAATCAAACTTCACATTAGTTAATAGGTTTTATATTTAATATTATATATGCATGTGTATATATATAGGTTTGCACTAAAGTGTTACTGCCTTGGATCCTAAATGTTAGACCTGGCGGAGGAATTTGTTTTATTAATCCCAGATACAAATATAAGACCCCAATCTTATAAGTAGTACACGATGGAGTATATAATACAAATACAAAATGCATTATTATTGTTGTTGTTATGACTGAACGTTATATTTTGAGTATTAGGTCCTCCAGTCCTTAAATAATTAGTCATATAGAGTATATTTTAGAAGGATTTTTTTTTTTTTTGGGGTCTCAAATGTGAGTTACTCTGTGTTGAAGCATAACATCAACCCAAAGACAAGGGGCCCATTATTCTCTATATGTCCAAGTAACTTTCACTGATTTATGAAATGGTGAAAAGGTCATTAATGATGATATATATGCGTGTATATGTTTATGTATGTATCCTTTATAACATTCGCTTTTGTCTGCATTTTTTGGCTCCTTTGGTTTATACATGGAACTATGTCTGTTTATTTGTTGATGTATATTCGTAGGTTTAATGCCTTTTCAGTGCTGCATAAGTGTACAATCATATATATATGTATGTATATATATTTGTTGTCTCACTGTTTATGCCCATTGATATATTGTTCTGAGAGGCTAGCTGTTCAAACTCAACATATATATATAATGCAAAATTATTATTTATATCACCGAATGCGCTACTAGGATATTTGAATATATATTTATATATATATGAACTACTATTAATTAATGAGGACTTTAATTTCTAAAATGGCCCTTCCATTATTTTTACGTTATTCGCAATTTATATGATCACAATCATCCCCTGGCAATTAAATAAATAATTAGTTGAACGATCGAGGCAATTAGTAAATGAATTATAGGAATAAAGGGAGAAGTCTTGATTTTGTGCTCAAGTGGAATACAATCTCTTTCACATGACAACTGATATTTGTTACATACAAATACTGAGAGTTGTTATTCTCATCATAAGCAAGAGGTTACCTTTTGTTCACTATTCATTGCGATTCTACCCTATTTAATATACATATTTCAATTATGCAATACTCTTTTTGAGAAAAATTAATCTTTTGATTCTATAATTTTGACTCGTTTGTAACTCAATTCTTATATTTTGGCTTGCTGTAACTTGGTTTGACTCGCTGTAACTCGGTTCCAATAGTTTTGATTTTTGACTCGATTATAACTCAATGCTTAAAGTTTGACTCGCCGCAACTTAATCACTATAATTTTACCCATTTTATAATTTGATCCTTGTGTTTTAGAAAAATGAAATTAAATATCTAATAAAAAGAGAGGCTAAATTATAAAATAGTTAAAAGTATAGGGATCAAGTTGCAGCGACTCAAACTTTAGAAACTGAGTTATAACTGGGTAAAACTATAGGGATTGAGTTGCATTGAATCAAATTATAAAGAGTGAGTTACAAATGAGTTAAAATTAGAGGGACTAAAGGACTAATTATTCCTTTTATTATATAAAAACAATGAGAGGTAGTTGACTCATTAATTTTGTTTGAAAATTATTTTTTTAAAAAAGTTTATCTTTATTTAAAAACATAGAGAAACAATACATCATATTTCGATTCTCATCCAAGTAGATTGCAATGTAGTAATATTTGGGAAAAGCTAGTAAATGACCCAACGAGTAAATCATACAAGGGACCATCAATTCCTTCTAAAACTGCCCTATGTAAGGCTGAAAGGGTATTTTCAGGAAAGGAAATTCAATTTTCGACAAAATTAAGACCAACAAATTTTAACTAATAATATTCCTAATAATAAGCGTGGGCTAGTTATTTTCACTTATACTCAAGAAGAGGTGGACTAATACTTTTATCAATAATTAGAATGGGGTCAAGCTATAAATAAATATATACATATATAGACTCTAATTAATGGGTAATAGTAATACTATTTATAACTTATGAATAGGTGGCTTCCAATAAATTGAGATTGTTGTCCCCTTGTTTTGTAAGAAGTCTAACGTACTAGGTCATTGCTAATGCATGAGTTATTATAAATAATACAAATTTCAATAAATTTAATATTATATATCGCTACGAATGTTTTGCCTAAAAAATTGATATAGAAAATAGGTATTTCTCCTGTCCTTAATATATGACCCAATTTTTGAGTTGTTTTGGTCCTAAATATAAGATTCATTTATTATATTTATCAATTTTCTCTAAATTACCCCTATGGATACTCCCTCAATCATAATCAAGTAGAAGAGGGAGAGGAGTATTAAAAAAGATGATTATGATGTTTTAGGAAAAATGTGTCACTTTTTTTATAATTAACTAACTTATCTAATTTTTTTAATCTAATCAAATTAGTTAAATAGGTCTTATATTAAAGACCGGAGGAGTATTTTGATTTGTGCAACACCAAGTTGTTTGTATATATACGCGTGCATGCACAATTAATTGATTAACAAAAAATAATTCACGAGGGGCCAAATTGAGAAGTCTAGCTTCCACTATCTATGAAGAATGAAAATGACGATCTTGACCATTATTCTAGAAGAGATCAAATAATAAAAGAGAATACTATCTATAACTCGTGATATAATCAAATGATATACAGCTAGCACCAATTATAGAAAATTGTTATTCACTTATTGATCCAAGAAATTAAAGCATAACTTGAGTTCATAATTCCATAATGAACTCCGTACCTTTGACTTATTAATAATGATAGCACATTGTCAAATTTCTTAATTCCTCCTCTTGAATGACCTCCATATATATACGTGTGTGTGTGTTATTCTTTTCCTTTCATCATGTTCATAAGCTTCTTGACGTGATGATCATTCATATGGATGGAGCCCAACGTCATGCTCTTCATTATAATTTGTTTCAGCAACGTAACCTTTCTTAACATTTGGATTTTTTTTTCCCTATTGTTTTCTGGACATCAGATTTGAGTTGAAGAAACTAATCAGAGTCGAAGCAAAACCACCGTCTGGCTTCTTACAAGTCGTCTTCTCATCATCATCATCAACAATCTTTTCCTCAATGTTGATAGTTTTATTAATATCTTGATGATCACTATTATTATTATTGTTATTATTTGTGGTACTTGTCTTTAATGCGTCTCCTAATTCAACTGAGTCTTCTTCTTCTTCTTCAGTATTCTGATGATGATCTGCTACTTTTTCCTTCAACTCTTTGCCTTTGCCCCACAGGACTGCGTATAGCCCCATTATTATCAATATGGATCCTATCAGGCTGTATAATAGTTTTAATAAGTCAAACAAAAAGCAAAATCAATATGGATCCTATGCTAAATGAAAAGAGAGAGAGAGAAATTGGTGTAAATTGGTAATACCTTCCAAGGTGCAACTTTTCAGCCAAGAGGAAAGAGCCAGCAATGGCGACTAGTATCAGAAAGAGAGGGTTGAAAATGGAAGCATAAAGTGGACCTTTTTGGCGCAAACAACATGTGATTAAAATCCAAGCTAGTCCAGACGCCACAATCCCCTTGTACATATAAATTACTCATAAATTCCAGATAATGCAGGCCTCAACTTAACCACAGCTACGACAACACTAATAAGCCTCATCCTACTAAGTACCATCTCCAGGTTCCTTTATATAAAAACAAGATAACTAATTTTTGGATATTAAAAAATTAGTTAAGTTAATTATTTATTACAAGTGTATTTTGATTTTTCTAGACTACCCTCGCATTAGAGCTACCCTTTGATTAGAAGTCCCTTTAATATGTGTAGGTAATACAGATATTTTGGACACAAAATTATGAATTTGGAGGACAAAATGAACCTCTTGTCTAGTTTTTATATTTAGTACTAGAAGTAGTAGTAGTTAAGATCAGTTACACAGATGAAATTACCTTATTATGTGTGTTCTATCAACAAAGCTAAACTTAAACAAGTGTTTTCATTTCAGTTCACAATACAAGTCATTTTACGAAAATTCCTTAGTGCACAATATAATTTGAGACAAATTTAATGAGTTAACTAACTATCATTTCTTAATTTTAATGAATCAGTTAAAGTGACTTATACAACGCACTAATTGAGCAGAGGAAGACGTAATTAAATTAGCAGTGAGAGAGTTTGATGAAAGGATACCGTATAAACAGCAGTAAGAAGAAAGGTGTCCCAACCAAGCTTCCAACGAGACCAATCTCGTTCCATGAAGAGTGCAAATATGACTGATTGTATTGCTGCCATTACTGACATCAATGCTGCACTTGTGTAAGCCCATGGAAAGTTCTCACTCATCCTTGCCTGCATCGTATATATGATAGATTTATTACGTCATAATACTCCTTTTATTCTTTTTTATAACAAATATTTAACCGAATATTTATCTTATTCAATTGTGTTTGGGGGAAATCAGAGTTGAACAAGAGAGAGAGAAAGAAAGCCAAAGAAGATGACGGAAAATATAGAACCTGAATAATCAACCAAAGGGAATAGGAGAGGCAAGTGCCGAAGGCCAAAGCGATGCCCCAGACTTGATTGGCGGGCACCTTCTGTGGGGCCACATTTTGTTTCATAATATTCAAGTGAGTTGACCACAAGTGTATCTCTGTGCTCTTATAGAAGGTCAGCATCATGGCCCCACCTATTCCCATTACTGTCCCCGCCACCTTCGCCTTCCCTGATAATTTCCCTATATTCACCCTTTCCAATCTGACCATAATCATCAACTCTAATTAATTAATTAATTATAACACAATAATTATAAAACTTTATTGACAGATAGGGTCTTATAATTAGGACTAGAAGTAACATAACATAATATCTATAAAATATATCAATATGACATTAAATTATACATATATCATCACTTTATAAGTTAATAAATGAACTAGTTTTATGAAAAACAAATTAAACTGAATTAAGATGATCTTGATGTGGGGCTTGGGTTAAATGAGAGTGTGGGACCCACCCAAAACAAACGGCTAAGACGAAGGTTGCACCAGGGACGAGGTTGTACATGGCCGTAGCGTATGTTGCTCCCGCTAAATCCACTGCTTGCACAAATAAATTTTGTTGCAGTGACGCCCTGAGAAACAGAAAGATATTATCAACGATCTAATATTCAATATAAGTCTCAGATATTTTAGCTTTCCATTTTTCATTTAATCCTAGGTTCATGAATGTATTATTGTTCAATCAAAACTCTATAGGATTAAGTTTCAGCGCTTACCATTTGATAATAAATACGCAATTTCATCTGTCCAAATTAAATTTTATATTTAGAATAAGAGTTACACTACAAAATATGTTTTATATTTAAAAGCGGAGGAAATATGAGAATTTGACTTACCCAAATAATCCACACATAAATGCTTGTAACAGCACTTTTCCTGTGATCCTGGGTTTGCTCTTCCTGTGATCATCGTCACACGCATAGATTTCAATTCGTATATTCTCATCGTCACAAAATTAATCAAAACGAAACTCTCGAGAGTGTGTGTGTGTGTGTGTGTGTATTTAATCGCCTAAAATATTTGTTCCCAGAAGTTCCATCTTATTCATCACTATATGTCTCATTATAACACCAAATCGTAAATTTTCTCACAGAGAAATCATCAATACTTGTACCAGTAATGAAGAAAAATCTGCAGATAAACTCGTATCAGTTAAGGTTAAAGCTTATTGCTTTAGCAGCATAATATAATCTAACACAGTAAATTAACACCAGAGAGAAACTGATGAAGGTAACTAGAAAGAAAAGAAGGGGTAGGTACCTTTCGACGATGAAAGCAAGGGGAACCATAAAAAGAGAAGCAAAGAGGAAACGATAAGCCATGAGAATGGTCAAGCTGGCGCTTTCATCATTAGCAACCACTTTGTATAATATGCTAACTCCTGCATATCCCACTTGAACCATTACCATCATCAACGCTGGCTTCAAATCCTCCATTATCTTCCCCATTTTCCCCATCCTCTCAATTCTCTCACTCACTGATCTTAGCTTAATGCTCACTTTGTGTTTCTGATGGGTTTGTATATATATATATATCTCTGTTACATATATATATATATATTTACACTCATACACACAGGGTGGGTTCAGTGGTTTATTAGGTTTGGATCTTTGAAATGAGGAGGTTGGTGAAATATTTTGGAAATAAGAGAGGTACAGAAATTAAACGAATAGAAAGGAGAGAGTGAGAATCTGCTTGGCATGAGATTCTCTTTCTGTCTGTTTCTTCATCGCCCACTTGATCTCTTTTTTCCTCTTTTGCTTCCAAGACACTATATTAAGACACATTCATAATACATATTTATAAATATATATATGTGTGTGTCTGTGTGTGTGCATGTACGTGTATATGTGTCCCTTTGTAAGACTTCGGTATGTGATTTGAGATTGTCATATTAATTCCAACACGCTCCTAACAACAAATTTATTTTTAATTAACGGTTGTTCTTTTGGAGGGGTATACAGACAAACTCTCTTGAAGGCAATTTCTTTTTATATTTCTAATTACTTCTAACATTCTAAATTCATCATATCATGGCTAGACGTGGTCATGTGGAGTCCAATTCTCAGTTTTTTGCAGTTTGAGATCCTAATTAATATTGTGCTTCAGAGTCTGGTTTTGTATTGCAAATGAGGGATTTGATTTTAAGAAAAAACTAAATGAACATAATTAAAAATTAGATGAAATTACAAGAATTTGTAGATTAATTTTTTTAAAAAAATTCTATGATCGACATACAATATACTTCGTTTACCTTGTGGAACATATTTGCGAGACATCTTTTTATTTTTCAATTTAATGCAATTAAACACACATATGCAAACAAACATATTAACATCAAACTCAAACTCAAACTCAAGACCTTATTCAAGCGTGGCAGTTAGCGTTGCCACTGGGACAATTAGGCGTTGACATGTTTTTCAAAAAGTTAATGTTTATTTACATTATTATATGTTAAATGTTCCTAACAAGCCTTAAGATCAAAGAAGAATCAATTTCGGCTATTGGCACTTGATAATGTCCAAAAGTTAATCAACTTCAATATTTTTCCTTTCTTTAATAATAAAAATCTGTTTTGGCCATCGATATCAATAATAAAATAAATTAACTTAGGTTACGGTTACATTTTTGAAACTTTTCGCTTATATCAAATTAATATACCTATCGCAACTATAAAAGTAAATGAACGAGATAAGTTACTTCACACAAATGACCAGATTTTTTTCAAAATTTTTTAACATAATAAAAGAAGTCCCATGAAATGAGGATTTAAGTAGGGATGATGAAGATTGACTAAAACTTGAGAACAGGGGAGGATTTCCTGGACATAGAAAATCATTGTCAGAATATATAAAAATTAAATTAGTTAAAGAAAAATCTCGCATTATTCGACATTTCTTTAAATATTTATTATATTTTAACAGTAAAAAATTAACATGTAAATATTTTCCCCCTCCTTGCAAACTACTCCAAATTTAGATGATAAATCTTCCCTGGCCTTGAGTTAGGTTTGGGTGAGATATTCGACCAATCTTAAGAATGCTTTATTAGTTATGGCACAAATTGAATATAACAAAAAAAAATATTAAAAGGAAGCCTTAAAAAGAGCAAGTATTTGTTTGTTATGCTATATATTTCCATAATTGTTTGATAAAATAAAATCAGGAGAGGTGAGTCTGGGAGTTTTTTTTCCCCCAAATTTCTAAAATATTTCATAAATAATATAATTGTTCTTTTGGCAGCTAATCATGTGTTTTGATGTGTATGTGATACATAGAGTAGTGTTCAATTTGTATGTTTGTTTAAAATTACACACTAATTTTTCATAATAAGGAGCATTTATTTATTTGTTGACAAAAATCAACCATATATATCACACAGTTGGACCGAAAAATTGGGGAACAGAAACTAACAATAAAAGTGGAATCTGTACATTGATTATTGTAATAGCACCCTCATGTTTAACATGTTCCACATTTTTTTAAGATTATTAATTCAATCTACATATATATCCTTTGTTTTAGACTTATTGCTGCTTTTGAATTTTAATAAAACATGTATTATTTTTGTAATCTTTATTTTGTTTTTTTGGCTGAAGGACCACTTTTTTTATTAATAAAAAAATAATGATGTGTGGATTATATAAGTTATAAATTGTATTTTTTTGGCCGTCAGGTGGTGGCCTTTTAAGTTATAACTTAACGACGCCAAACATTTTCCTTAAATTAACAAATAATGTAATTCATGTCACCTGAATGGTGTAATACTACCTCCGGTCTTTAATATAAGAGCTTGTTTAGTTTTTATTTTGGTCCTAAATATAATATCCTAGCCTACTTTATTTATCATATTTATCTATTTTTTTTAAAGGTAGTCCTTGTAATAATAGTAATTCTAACCAATACACTTGATTAGTAAGGATATTTTAGAAAAGATAGTACATATTTATTACAAATAACGAACTTAACTAGTTTTTTTAATATATTCAAATTAGTCAATTACTCCTCTAGTCCTATGTATAATTCACTTTTAACATATTTCACACAGATCAACAAAAACTTTGAACTTCATTAACTCGCATTTAAAATTTAACAACTTTTCAATTCTATCCTTATTAAATATATATTATACCTTATATAAACAAAGTCAACACATAATAAATGAAAGGTAAAATTATACATCTATACAAAAAATTTTTCTGTGTCCTATAAATAAGATCAAAAAATATCTTCTCTCTCTGCCCTATAAATAGAACTAGAGGAGTAGTTCTTATACTACCTCCGATCCTAATTATAAGACCCAGTTGACTAATTTGAGGAGATTAAGAAAGTAAGTTAAGTTAGTTATTTGTAACAAATAAGTGTTGTCATTCCTAAAATATCCTTGCTAATTAAGTGTGTTGGTTAGAACTATCATTATTAGAAGAATTATCTTGGGAAAAAATGCATAAATATGAGAGACAAAATGGATTGGGGTCTTATAATTAGGACCAAACTAAAAGTCAAACGGGGTCTTATATTAAGGACCGGAGGTAGTATTAAGGATTGGAGGTAGTATTATGTTAAGATAGGATATAGATTTCTTATATAGTACAAATCCTGTCAATTCCATTTCGCAAATCTTATATATCATTTTAGCTCTTGAAAAGTCATTTTTTATTGTTGATAATAAGCTATAATTAAGACAAGTGAAGAATGAATTTTGGCTATTTGCTACTGATTAGAGCTGACCCCACCTAGTGGGATAAGGCTTGTTGTTGTTGTTGTTGTTGTTGTTGCTGCTGCTACTGATTAGAGCTGGGAAAATGAGCAAAATCCGTCAGGCCGGTCTGTTTAGGTTTGAAAATTATGAGGGTTAGACTTGAAATTTTTTTCTTCAAATGAAAAATAGGCTTAAAAGGGTCGGCCTTGCAGGGCCAAGGACTAGCCTATTTAGGCCATTTTATAGTTTTTTAAAATTCTTTATGTAATTATAATATTATTAATTGTTTTACATTGTTAATGATATTTTTAATCTTTAGTTATTATTATCATTTTGAAATTAAATTTTACATAATGGTCTGATTTATTTGGTTTTAGACAATCATTTTTTAATTAAATTTTAAAAATAGGTTAATTTGAACTTTGATAATGATTTAATTTATATTATATGTGTTGATATTTTTAAACTATATATATTTAATAAGAGAGTATTTTTATACTTATATAACTTGTAATTCTATAATTTGAATTAGAAATTTATGAGTTTCAATAATAATGCTTCTCAAACTCAAGTAAAATAATAACTAAATTGTAAAATTTAAAAGTGAAATTCCTATAAAGAAGAAAAACTAAATATTTTTGCTACAAAAGGAAAGCAATTGATTATAATAATGATGGAATTTCAAAAAATTAATAATAGTATTTGTCTATTGTAAATTTGTGCTGTTGATGAAACTTTTGGATGTTGATAGATGTTTTAGATGTTCTTAGATGTTGATAGATATTAAGATATGATGATATTTTATATTTGTGACTTAATTTTATTCATATCTATGTCTTTGATTATTAATTTTATTATTTTGTTTTTATTTTTTGATAAAAAATGTAAGAAGTATGAAAAATAATATTTTTTTAAACGGGTTGAAAGCTCACGGGTCAACTCTGAACCCATTAGCTTAAGGGCCAAGCCTAAAAAATTGGAATATTTTTAAAATATTGGATCTGCCTTATAGAGCCGAGCCGACTTATATTCCCACCTCTATTACTGATAATGCCCAAAAGTTAATAATGCCTTAAATTAAAAAAAAAAAAAAAGTTGTAATCTTCATACATCATCGATTAGATGAGATTATCCATATAATGCCTTGAATATATTTTTCTTCTAAATATTTTACACGAATAACCTTTTGTGTTGATTTTTAGAAAATTTTAAAACGTAATTTTATAAACTCTAGTTCACTAACTTTTTTTAAGAGAAAAAGAGGGGGAACGCATTAACTGTATAAGTGGGTTTATTAATTACAGAAATATCTCTGACATTTGCATTGATAATAAGATAAAGAATACTATTAATTATATACGCCAATTTTCGGATAATTAGTACCTTGTTTATTTATAAAACCGCCAGGACAACATTTTCTACGCTCTTTGATTAAATTTAGAGCTAATCAGTATCATTATATATAAACTAAAATTTGTAGCAAATCCTTTGATTCATGATGTGTCATTAATCCTGTTAGCAGATCCCCCAAAAAAAAAAATGCATGATGTAAAAAGTTGTGCATTATAAAATAGATCTTATATTTAAGAAATGAGGAGTAGTACTTTGGAATAGATTTTGGATTTCACAAAAGAAACCCTCTTCGGCTCTCTCTGTAGGTTATATCTGATGGCAGCATGAGTTCCATTCATTGTTCTCAAACATGAAAAATAGGATTTTCTCTCTCTTTCTATGAGCTCTATTGGTGCTCCTCAAACAAATATACTAAAAAATTTTAACTGATGTGTAACAAAAAATTATTTTAATTCAAATAATACTTTTAGATGCTGAATTGTTGGTATATAAGATCAATGACAATGAAGCATACGTTTTTGCCACTTGCTTTTAATAGTGTCCAAAGGTCAATCAAGCTAAATATCATTTATTTTTAATAATAAAAAATTGGGTTAAAATTAATAATAAAAAATTTCATGCATTCACCAATGTATATGTATGTGTGTATGTATTACCACCTATCGGAATTGCCAATATAAAGATAAATTTACGCAAGTGGCTCTGATATTCTCTATTAAATTAAATAATAAAAGAGTGATGCATGAGTTGAGGATTTATGATAAAGACCGACTAATACTAAATCAAGATAAAGGAGAATGACGAAAAAAGAAGGTGAAAATTTCTAAATTTCAAATTAGGTTTAGTAACAACATTTTATTTGGTATTGATGATACTGAATTTGCAAACAATAACAAATTTTTATTGACATTTCTTATCTGGCATTTATATATTTTTAGCTTCTGTTTTTGCTATTTTTTCTTGAGACAAAGGATCTCCTTAGTAATTGAAAAGACATTGGTAAGAATATAAAGATGAAGTGAAAATTTTGGCGTTATATTTTTTGGACAATAAAGTTCAATAAAATGCTAATTACACACAACATTATATATATATATATATATATATATATAAAATATACCTTTTCATCATTGCTTATCTTTTTGTGTAGAATGAACAAATATTTGCTTCTTTCTTTATTCCGGATATGTGTAGCAAAATAACAAGAAATGGATCCATAATCAAAGAAAGACATACACATGTATAGAATTAATTTTATAGTACTGGGAGAGCTATCCTCAAATAAGATCGACAATTTTCCAATGTGACTCTTTAGTAACATATACTAGTTTTAACAATATAAACACACACACACACACACACACACACACACACATATTAGTTACTTATATATATATATATTTTACCTGAGTAAGGTTTTTTTAATATGCATCAATTTTCAAACTGTTACACATTTTTATTTGACTATAATGGAGTTTAAATGTAAGTGTAACGGGTCGAACCATAATTAAATATTGTGTGAATGTTTAGTTGATTGTTCATCTTGCTGTTTGTTTCAGCTCACACATCAACTTTCTCAATTTTTCAATATATTTGCATTTCCCTTTGTTACGCACGCCAAGAAAACTCAAATAGACACTAATTTAATTCAATGCACAGTTTGATATAGGATAGCATCTTCATATCTAGGTTTCTATCATACCAAATCTGATTTCCCATGTATTAATTAAGAAATGTTTCATGCAAAAAGTGGTTTGAGATGGTACAACCGTACAAGCCCAAACACACACAACACACACACACACACGCAGACTAATTAACAAAGCGATTACGTATTGATTAATTTCCCTCTTTTCCGCAACACTACTGAAGTCCAGCTTCAAGATATTTTGCCCCTCGAAAAAGGCATAAAACTTGTTATTCCAGAGTAATACAATCAGAGAAGCCGATATCTTTTGAACACCTTAAGAGAATAAGATTTTTTCTTTAGCAACTCAAGAGATCATATCATATATGAATCCAATAAAAGAATGTGAAAATTGCAAGCACTAAGCACTTATTTGCTTCTCATGCACCTAACGATAACCTCTACAAACCTCTTGTACATATGCTGCTTCAGGTACATCCTTTGCACCTTCTTTCTTCCCTCCAATCCCATTTGTTCCCTCGCTGACCGGTTTTCAAGTAAAAACCGTAGATTTTGCGCCAGGACAGCATTCCCTGGACGTCCAGTAGGATGAACAAGGCCTGTAACATTGTGCTCAACAATTTCTAGTGTTCCACCAGCATCTGTTCCAAGCACCTATGACAACGGAAAAAACATGAACCTACTGTGACAAAAAAAACCATAAAATGGCCAACCACTCCACTGAATAAGTTATTCAGGTAACGCTAGGAATCCCATCCCACCAATGATCCCCAAATAATATTGCATACTGATAATTCAAGCACAAAGGAGGAAGAAAGAGCCTAATTGCTATACTGTTTTATATCCAACACAGGAGTTGTTCAGTGAAATACAGTTACTGGTTTTCAGAAACAAAGAGCATTCTTTTCAAATGTTTTTGAAGCTCTTAAAACTCTGAATGATTACACACTGCCAACCATGAAATATTTGACAAGGGAGAGTGACATATAGCGCATAAATTAAATATATGTCATCACTAAATATTCGACAAGGCAGAGTGACAGTTAATTGTATTTGAGAGTGCAACTTGTAACTCAAGCAGAAAGCAATGGTTTTAGGCAAGTGTTCTGTCCATATGCTCTAGACTCATCTTGATCATTGCGAGATTAGGAAGGAAACTTAGTTCCATGTTAAATATGTAATAAACTTTATAGACGAAAGGTTGCTCGTAGTTACAATGTATGTTTTGAAGACTTTAGGCTCTCGTTGTCAATGATACCATATTATAAAAATTGTCACTCAAAAAACATAATGAAATCAGAATAATAACAGGAGCAGCTCCAACATTAAGTAATAATATTCGGAAGGAAAAGCAAGTTGGTGACCCATACCGGAAGACCAAATGCCATTGCTTCTATAGTCACCCTCCCAAATGTCTCTCCTAGTCCCTGTTCACCACTTTTGTAGTCAGAGATCAGTACATCAAGCAAAATGTCTTTTTTTGTTTCTCCTAATATAATGAATCTCTTACAAAAGGCAAGCAACGCTTGAAGCAAAAACAAAACGGAGAAAGCTATCCAAGCCTATCCCAAGTATAATCAGCCATATTTTAATATATTTGATTCTGCATGAGTAATTGCTAAGACGTGTAATTATTTTCTTCTTTTTCATTTGGTCAGGTTGTAAAAAAATGGAAAACAACACTTTTGTGTTACCTGTGCCAAACAAAGAACAAGGCAAACGTGGAAATGTGATTCACAATTCAGGAATGCATCTAGCGATTATGAAACATTGCTAAAGAACCGGGGAGCAGCAATATTGATCATTCGTCTATGGTATTTCAGAAAGTGCTATTAATTTAAGACATATGTTCAGATATACCCATGCCAAATGTCAAAATAAAATTATTTTAAGTAAAATTAATCTCTGCAATATCATCGCATTGAGCCATTTGTC